CTCGTGTGTTGTCAGTCAGTGAATGGAAGCGTGCAATGACTAGAGCCAGAAGAAGACAATAGAGAGTAATTTCATGGTTAGGGTGAGATAAACATGCAGATGGAGCTTGTCAACTGGGGTCAACGCCGTACATGGGAAGTAACTCCAGTCATAAAACTCTTTTGCCAAATAAGTAGATCTTATTTGTTCATGGACTAAGGAAGCTTATAGGACCGGAAGGCGCAGAAAGTTCAGAAAGGTTTCACAGACGAATCTGAAAACTATGGCGCAATGCAACTCTTTCCTGTAGAGAAAACGTAAAGAAAAAAGAACACATGTTTACCTATATGTGAATTCAAACAGATAACCCGGAAACCATACAGGGACAAAAACACACGAAATTCACATATGTACCTGGTAGGTAACAAACAGGGACATGGTGATAGGAAACAGTGACATCTTGCGACCTCCCAGCAGGTACTCATCTCTTGTGGTCTTCTTCCGGTCAGTGTAGGCGAACCAAATTCCAATCCCCATGGGAATCAGGAACATGAGGACGATGACCACGTAGTCGGCTATGGTCAGTGCCACGGTCTTGTCCATCGCCATCTCGCTGGGTCGGCGGGATTTCAGTCAGGTTTCAGCTGAGCAGCAAATTTGAAACAAGCAGAGTAAAATTAATGGACCCTCTTCTACTCTTTTATGCGTATTGGGCATATAGGGTTAGACCTGTAATTTTAGGTCAATCGGCACTATGTGGCTAAAGTGTTCAGCATCAAACCAGTCGCCTTTACTTCCCATGACATAACCTGGTACCCATTTAAGTTTGGATCAACCAAGTAGCCAAAGTTCTTTTTGAAAAACAACTCCGTTTGGATTTGAACTTACGAAACTGAGATGCCCAGGCGTGCATCCTGCCGCCACACTACTGACGGCGGGGGATCCTAACCAAGCATAGACTGACTGGAGATATTTATGTATACTTTTGTTAGATTCTGCTTTACCTTACTGAGCACTATTAGTCTAATTAGTTCGATACCAGCAGATTTTAGATTTTTAACGCGAAATACGGGAAGTGACGAAAAAATCCATGATCAACAAATTGTGAATTTTTGATTGTTCTATTGTTCTGACCAAAAATGCAAGCGAGGTAATTTTGATATGGCGTGAACTCAGAGGATAGAGTCATTCACACGCCAGGGCTTTCTTAGGATAGAAAGAGTTAATTGTATTTTTTTCACCGTTAACTTTTTCTTTATTATTTCGCCCAGCTATTACGCAAACCAGAACTATCTCAACTGTTAGTTTGACCCATTTTATTCTTTGATGTTACTGTTTGAAACAATGCAGATCCAGACATAAACTGTTGTAGGTAACAAACGTTTATGTTGGGTTCAAGAAACCCCTGTCTGGTATTGAATTTCAAATATGTGATTTTTAGTCTTCTTATTCTTGTTGTTCTCCCTGAAAGTGGGTAACAAAGGTAAAGGTCCCTTTTCCACTCCTTTAGCCGCATAGGGCATATAGGGCTAGACCTTTATTTTTATAGAACATCGACACAAGATGGGTGATGTGGTCAGCATCAAGCCGGCGGAGGGTTTCAGTTTAAGAAAGGTCACATGTCTCTATGCAGTCTGTGTTGTCACACACGTCTCCCCACAGTTTCATACAGTATAACTTTCATTGGAATACCAATAGTCAAACCTGGGATCTGTCTACTGTATGTAGAGAGCTTGTCTGTAGCAGATTTTAAATATTATGTGGTGTCTGCCCACAAGAGCAAAGTTGTGCATCCCCAGTCTTGAATTTCTTGTACATTTGGCTGCAAAGTCTGTTGTGTCTAGTTCTCATTCTAAATATAATGGCCGGTTTCTTTCATGTAAGGCAGTTGACTTGTCTTGAGGATTGTGTCCTAGACGGGAAATGTTCAGATAGGTTCTAATGGCTGCCTTGATTTGATATCTATTTCCTTATAAGTACATCCTGTATCCGCCTGTTCTAGGTGAGTGTCCTCAGTAGTAGTAGTAGTAGTAGTAGTAGTAGTAGTAGTAGTAGTAGTAGTAGTAGTAGTAGTAGTAGTAGTAGTCGTCGTCGTCGTAGTAGTAGTAGTAGTAGTAGTAGTAGTAGTAGTAGTAGTAGTAGTACTAGTAGTAGTAGTAGTACTAGTAGTAGTAGTAGTAGTAGTAGTAGTAGTAGTAGTAGTAGTAGTAGTAGTAGTAGTAGTAGTAGTAGAAGTAGTAGTAGTAGTAGAAGTAGTAGTAGTAGTAGTAGTAGTAGTACTAGTAGTAGTAGTAGTAGTAGTAGTAGTAGTAGTAGTAGTAGTAGTAGTAGTAGTAGTAGTAGTAGTAGTAGTAGTAGTAGTAGTAGCAGCAGTAGTAGTAATAGTAGTAGTCTTCTTCTTCGCGTTCACCAGCTGTACACTCTGGCGGAAGGTTCTGGTTGCTCGTCCACTACTGAACTGCAGCCCTGCTCCAGAATTTGAGTGTTGCGTATGCATCAGTTTTACAAATCTCATTCTCTTGAATACAGACTGTTGGTTCCCTGCCTCTCGGACAGATGCACTCTCACTTCGAAGGAAGCTCCCTAATTAGTCGACTCTTACGACATGCTTTGGGGAGGCAGTGGGTCTATTCTTGTTTTCCCCTACAATGGAACCCCGGAACCCACACGGGGGAGTAGTAGTAGTAGCAGCAGTAGTATAGGTAGTAGTAGTAGTAGCAGCAGCAGCAGCAGTAATATAAGTAGTAGTAGTAGTAGCAGTAGTAGCAGCAGCAGCAGAAGTAGTAGTAGTAGTAGTAGTAGTAGTAGTAGTAGTAGTAGTAGTAGTAGTAGTAGTAGTAGTAGTAGTAGTAGTAGTAGTAGTAGTAGTAGTAGTAGTAGTAGTAGTAGTAGTAGTAGTAGTAGTAATAGTAGTAGTAGTAGTGGTGGTGGTGGTGGTGGTGTTAGTAGAAGTGCCATTTACCTCACTAGGACATAACACAAGTGATAAAAACCCGATAACACAAAGTGCCACTATGTGGATGAGGATCACTGTGAAAAGGGTCCCGGAAACCACACTCAGCCACTAGACCATATTTATGGCCGGACCTTTTTGCAGCCCCTGGCAAGAGTCAGGGTGGGGCTTCTTGTGTATGTATGTATATATATATATATATTTTATGTGTATAGTAAGTTGCTTTTTCTTGACAAGACATTGCGGAACCAACCCCAGAATGTATAAGCTTTTTTAGGCAAATTTACATTCATAGTTTGCCATTCCTCCGTCAGGACTTGAACCCAATACCTTCAGATCCGCAGACGACCGTCTAGCCGCTACTTCACATCGACTGCCTTGTGTTTGTGTCTATATATGTATATGTGTGTGTTCTTGAAAATGGGCTGTGATAGCAGCGACGTTCCGAGAACAACCTACTATAGATAACTATGATAATGATATAAAGAAAGCCAAACGTGACAACAGTATTGCTTACCCCCTGTCGGCAGTGTCCTGCTGCTCGGCTGCACAAGATCTCGAGAGAGACGGCACCTCTCTTACTTACTTACTTGCTTATATATTTGTTATCAAGATTTGTTCAGGATCGGCCTTGTCGTGACTAAACATAGGACCTTAGCATTACATCTGATGGAGAAGCTGATGGCTTTGATAGCGTAAACATAACGCTAATGCGTATGCAACACTTGTAGGTCATAACAGAGCAAAGAACAATGGGCGTTGGAATGATACTGTAGTTTATACAACAAAGTAAGTTAACTCTTAGAAGGTTAACTCTTAGAAGGTTAACTCTTAGAATGTTACTTAATGTAGCTGATAATTCGACCAACATTTGAAAAATTCCATCTAGACTAGTGACTGAAGTTGATGGTGCAGAATAAATAAAATACAAAGGTCTATTGTTAGGGATTGAAGAGAGATAAAGAAACAGCGAAGGTCTATTGTTTAGAGGATTGAAGAGAGAGTGAGAGATCAGAGAGAAACAGAGAGAGGTCACTCATGACATGGAGTTTTCTCCCAAATGTCTCTCTCTCTCTCTCTCTCTCTCTCTCTCTCTCTCTCTCTCTCTCTCTCTCTCTCTCTCTCTTTCTCTCTCTCTCTCTCTTTCTCTTTCTCTCTCTCTCTGTTTCTCTCTGTCTCTTCTCTCTCTCTCTCTCTCTCTCTCTCTCTCTCTCTCTCTCTCTCTCTCTCTCGCTGCCTTTCTCCGTCTATCTCTCTGTATCACACACACACACTTTAAAAAAAACTTATGTTTATCTGTCGTGGGCAGTGTACTAAGGTCGAACTCCGAAGCTCTAGCGACAACACCCAAGCATCTCTACAAATATTGTACTTGTGAACCGAAAGACGCGGTCTGTATCGACGAACCCAGAACATTCAGAGCGCCAGCGAAAACGGCTTAAACACTAAAGTGTTATATTAGGTTCGTGAGCCACCGTGGTGCAGCGGCTAGACGCTAGATAACAGATCCGAAGGTCGGGGGTTCAGATCTTCCCTGTGTGATGTTGACCACGCCATCCACCAAGTGATAATTAGTCTATAAAATATAGGTCTAGCCCTATATGCCCAATCCGCATGAAGGCCTGGGAAACTCTCTCTAACTTTTTCCTTTGCATATTAAATTCCGCCAAAATATTTTATGCACTCTTTTCTTGTCAACTGAGATGAGAAAGAGAATTCTCAAGAGCTATTTAAACCCTACCCTGATACGCGAATGCGAATCATGGAGAGTTGGACGATTAATTAAAAAATTATATATAAGAGGCAGGGATGTGGGTTTTTTTTTTTTTTTTTTAGAAGAATGATGGAAACACACTGAACAGATAAGAAGAATGTTGAAGCTGTCTGGAAAGAAATGAACTCACCAAGAGAACTGATTGCCTACATCAGAAAGACACTCTACATTTGTTGGTCAGATCACGAGAAGGAGACAATTGTAATACATCATGCTGGAATGTTGGAGTGGACAGGAGGTAGAATGAGACAGAGAGGTAGAATGAGACGGAGAGGTAGAATGAGACGGAGAGGTAGAATGAGACGGATAGGTAGAATGAGACAGAGAGGTAGAATGAGACGGATAGGTAGAATGAGACGGAGAGATAGAATGAGACGGAGAGGTAGAATGAGACGAAGAGGTAGAATGAGACGGAGAGGTATAATGAGACGGGGAGGTAGAATGAGACAGTGAGGTAGAATGAGACGGAGAGGTAGAATGAGACGGAGAGGTAGAATGAGACGGAGAGGTAGAAAGAGACGGAGAGGTAGAATGAGACGGAGAGGTAGAATGAGACGGAGAGGGAGAATGAGAAGGAGAGGTAGAATGAGTCAGAGAGGTAGAATGAGACAGATAGATAGAATGAGACAGAGAGGTAGAATGAGACGGAGAGGTAGAATGAGACAGAGAGGTAGAAAGAGACGGAGAGGTAGAATGAGACGGAGAGGTAGAATGAGTAGAATGTAGACGGAGATAGAATGAGTAGAGGGGTAAATGAGACGGAGAGGTAGAATGAGACGGAGAGGTAGAATGAGACGGAGAGGTAGAATGAGACGGGGAGGTAGAATGAGACGGAGAGAAAAATGCTGGACAATCTGACATCATGACATGGAAGATCATCTGTGTCAGAACTGAATGAAAGTAAACGAAGTAGAAAGTTAGGGAATAGCCATGACCATCAACGCCAAACATGCGCTATAACAAAAGGGGAAATTCAGCTTCATAAGTGACATCTGGTAATGACTGTATGTGCGTTGACATGATATAGAATGACCAGCTAGATGTGGTCAAGGCCCTTCAGGGAGAGAGTGGACAATGCGGAAACTCGATCATGGTATCTAGAGAATGGCGAGTGACCAAGCGATCTGGTTGACACACTGCATTCAAAGAAAAGTAATAGAAACCTTTTTTGGTCGCTTTCTGGCGTTTTGGGCATATAGGGCTAGACCTTTATTTTTTATAGACCAAATCGACATTTGAGGGGGGATGTGATCAGCATCATGCAGACCACCTTTACCTTCCAGGACTTTACCTGCTATACTATTTAAGACTGGGTCGACCTTGGCGCCATGGTAATTTTTTTTTTAAGGAAAAAAAAAGTCAGATTCCGTTCGGATTTGAGCCCAGGACTTTCGTATCTACAGGCGAGCGGATTCTGTAGGTGGCAGAATAAAACCATCATCAGCACAGTCTTGGCGACAGCACTAGCCATGCCGCCCTAATTTCTCTAGCACAAAGAGCTACACAACAAAAAGTTGCATACAAAGACAGTAAATGGGAGGTCTGGAAGGAGCACCTTTGCGTAAGTTCCGGGTTTTGTCATTTCGTTGCTTAGCTCAGACATTACTGCTAATCGGGAGCATTGATATACCAGTGACTAGACATCTTGCCCGGCTGCCGGAAGGTCTCCGGCTGATTGTTATACATTTTTCTTAACTAATAATAGTTGTAACTGACCTACTATAGTATTACCTAGCCCTCTCAGATCGACCTAAACGTGTATACTTTGAAGAAGTGACAGCAGATCTGATGACTACATCATCCTTCGAGTGCAGGCCTGTCCTAAACAAATAAAGCACTAGCAACATACCCTATTAAGTAAAGAAGCTTAGTGTACTACTGACTTACTGCATGTTTAATACGCCCCAGTGCCCGCTAAACGGTCATATGGTGGATAGGCCTGTTATTTTAGTCATGCAAGATTTAGCTTCTGATAATAGTTAGTCCATTCCACTTTTTCCTTCATATGTAGACTGTAATAATATTGTTCCGTCGCCCGGTTAGTGGGATAATGCATCGCGCAACATTGTGAGCTTAGAATTTATTTCGGAATTACCTTTGACTGTGCCCAGCGTGGTTTGTGTTGTGAACTGCAGATGAAAAAAATATCGAGGAGAATATTGCTAGATAACTTATAGTGCCTCCTTTTATAATTAAATGCGTGTGCAACTACTGATCTGTTGTGACTGGTGCTTTCATCAATGAGTAACTGTATTTTTACCGCCAGACAATTTCCGTTATATATGTATATTTATTTGTATACTTTTCTACTTATATATCAACTGACACCGTTATTAAGACATGCAAATGTAAGTATGAGCACCAAGAACAAGACTATAAACAGCATACTCTGTGCTATCAGTGCCAGATGGACATTATCAAAGGCTAACAACCTATGTAAAATTAACACCTGTGAAATAAGATGCCTGAGAAAAGCCGCCAACTTAACCATCTGAGACAAGTTAGAAACTGTATTATCAGACAGACTGTAGGAACAACACCGTGCAGCAAATTTATTAAGAAGCAGAAGATCGAATGGTTTGGTCATTGAGTCATCTAGGGTATGCTAGACCCATACTTTCATAAATCAGTCGGCACACCCATGGCGATGTGTCAACGTCACTAACGATGTTTTTTTTTTCCAGGACATCTCTTGGCTCTCGTTTTAGGCTAGGCTACCTGACAGTTGACGTCAGTTATAAATTATCAGGATGCGGATTTGAACCCAAAGCTTTCGCGCCGGCAGACAAGAGTCAGTTTAAATAGGGTTTAAAAAAAACTCATTTTAATAAATCACAAAAATTTGGATGTGTGCTTGTGTATCTGTCTCTCAGTCTGTATTTATAAAGACGAATATACAATTACCTTTTATTTCATTTATAAAAATTAGCCATGATTGTTCCATCAACACAAATATGTAACACCCCCCCCCCCCACCCCCCACCCCCCCCCAACCCCCCCCCCCCACTCCCTTTTCCCTCCCTAGAAAGCCGTTTTTCCTGCATTTACAGATTTTTTTTTTTTTTTTAATCACATCGGGTCATTGTTGTTTTTGTGCACGTTTTCCTCTTTCCCATTTTGTTGAGCTTTTTAGTCAAATTTCTCTGGAATTCATCGGGTCATTGAGCAGATACAGTTGCGTCATAAAAATGTCGCTTTGCTCCCAAAGGGAAGGAAAGCAGTTAACTCAATGCTCCGTTTGTGTTTAGTAATTAATTCCCTTCCCTAAAAGAAAATTGTCTTCTTCAAACTGCATTCCAAAAATTATGTTTTATTTTATTGGTTTGACGGCCGCTATGGTGGTCTTAGCTGTCAACCCCCCCCCCCCCCCTTTCCTTCCCTTCTTTCCCCCTGGATGTTTATACAAGCTAAGACTCCGAATTTCCTCCTCTTCTTCTTCGCTTCCTCTTGTGTCTCTAGGGTGAGTGAGTGACTTTCTACCCCACTAGGACATCACACAAGCGATAAACACCCGATGACACAACGTGCCACCATGTGGATGAAGATCACCGTGGAGAGGTCCCAGAAACCGCGTTCAGACATTTGACCATTTTTATGGCCTGCCTATATTGCGGCCCCTGGCAAAAGCCAGAGTGGGGCTTCAACTCAGGGTAAGCTTTAGAAGATTGTTTTTGTAACGAAATATGGGAACGCGTGTTTTTGTTGTTAAGTAAGTATGTAAGGTTTACGCCACTAAGACATCACACAGACCGATAAACACCCGGTGACGAAAAGTGCCACCATGGGGGTGAAGTCAAAATGTAAACATCTGTATAAGACATGCAAACAATTTCCTAATTATGTAAATATTTGTATTAAGGATATAAATGTGTATATTAATAATGTGCACGTGTGTGTAAGACATGTAAAGATTTTGTTAAACATTACAATATTAGTATTAAACGTGTAAATATGTATATTAATAATAGAAAAATGTTCTTAAATGTTAAAATATGTTTCAAGACGTATAACTGTAATAATTTTTAGGCTCGCATTGCTGCTTTTTATCCTATTTTACTACACTATATATATATATAAATTTATTGATTAGCACTCATAGAAAGAGTGAGCCTCCGTGGTCTAGCGGCTAGACGCTCGCCTGCTAATCGAAAGGTCGTGCGTTAGGCTACTGAAGGGGCCAGAGTTGTTGTTTTTTTTTTTAAATGATCTTGGCTCCCAGGTCGACTGAGCCAAAAGTGGGTACCAGGTACAGTCCTGGGAAGTAAAGGCGGCTGGTGTGATGCTGGTCACATCACCCACCAAGTGCCGTTGGTCTATAAAATATAGGTCTAGCCCTATATACCCAATACGGCTGAAGGGCGTGGAAAAGGTCCTTTACTTTACTTCCTTACTCATAGAAAGAAGTAGAAAGAGAGAAAGACACCTAGACAACATAAAAATCGAAAGTTATAGTTAAAAAACCTGTCACCCCAAAATAGCGTGTGTGTCTCGCTATGGAAACAAGTGTACTACTAAGAACACGACCAACCTAGCACACTCAAAATGTGTCATCATTGGCCATGTCTACCAAACAGCTTGAAATCCACAACTATGGAATGCGGACATAATTGATCTCAGACCATTGAAATGGTACCATGGATTACATAAATTTATTGTAACCAAGCATAGGCGGAATAACAAAATGCATTTTCGCCCAAATGATGTTATTATTCATTTTGATGTCTGTTTGGGATCACTTCTATAATGGCTTATTTCGTGGTGAGCATTAGACTGTATAAATGTTCATTAGTGTGACTGTTTGGAAAAGGAAAAGGTGGGGAGGGGGAGAGGGGGAGGGGGGTTCACATTGTATTTTTTCTAATTGTAGTTTCATCCTATATTGATGTAATGGTGTGAATCATGGACAGTTAGTAAACTAGTGAATTTTTTGGGGGGGAATCTGCTGAGATGTGGTTTTATAGACGAATGATAAGAATATCCTGGACAGATAAAAATAGTAATGAAGATGTTTTGAAAAATACTAGCTCACGAAGAGAACTGATTGCCCACATCAGAAAGAGACAATCTACATTCTGTGGTCAAGTGATGAAAAGGAGAAAACCGGAGTACATCGTGAGGGTAGGAAAGTTGGTGAGGAGGAGAGGCAGAGGGAGACCGAGAGAACAGATGCTGATCAGTTTAACATCATGGCATGGAAGATCGTCTGTGTCAGAGTTGATTGAAATTACACGAGACGAGAGGTTGTGAATAGACATAACTACCAATGTCACACAGCAAGAAGAAGAATGAAGTTTCTAAAAAAACAGAGTCGCAGAAATATTTTCTTAAAATAAGCCCAAAAAATGCCAGAAAATAACACAGAAGACCACATAGACAATAACGCGTGGCAAAGGGAGGTTTATCCCATATTTAAAATATTGCAATCTACAGTTCAGTAGGGAACACCTTGTAGGGAGCAAAAGAACAGCTTGTGAAAACATGTAAATACATGACATTGGGCGTGAGGGCGAAAGCTCACGCGATACTGGATCGATAACAACAATATAACAAGTTGTATATTCTTGATTAAACATAACATGCATTATTGCTAGCATGGAGTTGTGGTCTGAAAGATGAGTGCTTGTTTTCTTGGCATCAGAGTCGCTGACATTTGAACTCATTAACTGACATCACTGACTCCTGGCAGAACTCCAACTGCCCAGCATGGCCAGACCCAGATAACTGGTCTCTTCGTCAAACATGACCAAGCCGCTGCCAGAGACCTCCACATAGACATCGTCACCGGCCTCCAGGAGGAAAACACCCGCTGGAATACACAACAATCATAGATGATTACCTTGGCGAACATTCATGAAAACAGATGATGACCGAAGTCAGAAACTGGCGATTTTCACTTGAAGTTCTTTGTGACTGATCCACTGCAGATTCTCTCCTACCCGTGTAAGTGGTGCCATGCGTCGCTACCTGCGTAGCTGGTGTGATGGTGATGATGTTATTATCTGTGTAGCTGGTGTGAGGGCGATGATGTTATTATCTTGAAGCTGGTGTGATGGCGACGATGTTATTATCTGTGTAGCTGGTGTGATGGCAATGATGTTATTACCTGTGTAGCTGGTGTGATGGCGACGAGATCTTATTTACCTGTGTAGCTGGTGTGATGGCGACGAGATCTTATTTACCTGTGTAGCTGGTGTGATGGCGACGAGATCTTATTTACCTGTGTAGCTGGTGTGATGGCGATGATGTTATTACCTTGAAGCTGGTGTGATGGCGATGATGTTATTATCTGTGTAGCTGGTGTGATGGCGATGATGTTATTATCTGTGTAGCTGGTGTGATGGCATTGATGTTATTACCTGTGTAGCTGGTGTAATGGCAATGATGCTATTACCTGTGTAGTTGGTGTGATGGCGATGATGTTATTATCTGTATGGCTATTGTGATGGCGATGATGTTATTACCATGAAGCTGATGTGATGGCGATGATGTTATTACCTGTGTAGCTGGTGTGATGGCGATGATTTTATTACCTTGAAGCTGGTGTGATAGCGACGATGTTATAACCCGTGTAGCTGGTGTGATGGCGATGATGTTATTATCTGTGTAGCTGGTGTGATGGCGATGATGTTATTACCTTGAAGCTGGTGTGATAGCGATGATGTTATTATCTGTGTAGCTGGTGTGATGGCGACGATGTTATAACCCGTGTAGCTGGTGTGATTGCAATGATGTTATTATCTGTGTAGCTGGTGTGATGGCAATGATGTTATAACCCGTGTAGCTGGTGTGATTGCAATGATGTTATTATCTGTGTAGCTGGTGTGATGGCAATGATGTTATTACATGTGTAGCTGGTGTGATGACGACGAGATCTTATTCACCTGTGGAGATGGTGTGATGGCGATGATGTTATTATCTGTATAGCTGGTGTGATGGCAATGATGTTATTACCTGTGTAGCTGGTGTGATGGCAATGATGTTATTACCTGTGTAGCTGGTATGATGGCGATGATGTTATTACCTGTGTAGCTTGTGTGATGGCAATGATGTTATTACCTGTGTAGCTGGTGTGATGGCGATGATGTTATTACCTGTGTAGCTGGTGTGATGGCGATGATGTTATTACCTGTGTAGCTTGTGTGATGGCAATGATGTTATTACCTGTGTAGCTGGTGTGATGGCGATGATGTTATTATCTGTGTAGCTAGTGTGATGGCGATGATGTTATTATCTGTGTAGCTGGTGTGATGGCGATGATGTTATTATCTGTGTAGCTAGTGTGATGGCGATGATGTTATTATCTGTGTAGCTGGTGTGATGGCGATGATGTTATTACCTGTGTAGCTTGTGTGATGGCGATGGTGTTATTACCTGTGTAGCTGGTGTGATGGCGATGATGTTATTACCTGTGTAGCTTGTGTGATGGCAATGATGTTATTACCTGTGTAGCTGGTGTGATGGCGATGATGTTATTACCTGTGTAGCTGGTGTGATGGCGATGATGTTATTACCTGTGTAGCTTGTGTGATGGCAATGATGTTATTACCTGTGTAGCTGGTGTGATGGCGATGATGTTATTATCTGTGTAGCTGGTGTGATGGCGATGATGTTATTACCCGTATAGCTGGTGTGATGGCGATGATGTTACTGCCTGTGTAGCTGGTGTGATGGCGATAATGTTATTACCTGTGTAGCTGGTGTGATGGCAATAATGTTATTATCTGTGTAGCTAGTGTGATGGCTATGATGTTATTATCTGTGTAGCTGGTGTGATGGCGATGATGTTTTATCTGTGTAGCTGGTGTGATGGCGATGATGTTATAACCCGTGTAGCTGGTGTGATGGCAATGATGTTATTACCTGTGTAGCTGGTGTGATGGCGATGATGTTACTGCCTGTGTAGCTGGTGTGATGGCGATGATGTTATTACCTGTGTAGCTGGTGTGATGGCGATGATGTTACTGCCTGTGTAGCTGGTGTGATGGCGATGATGTTATAACCCGTGTAGCTGGTGTGATGGCGATGATGTTATTACCTGTGTAGCTGGTGTGATGCGTGTTTGGGTGAGTCTTCACCAAGAGTCCTATTATTTGCATATTTTCTCATTTTGATCAAGTGTTTTCGACAACACACCAATGATATATATTTCCAAGCCTTTATCGTTTAACTTCCATTTGGAAGCATTGAAGTTCATTTTTTACATTTTAGACGCCCTGTTACGTCTTTGGGAATTAATCTCATACTGTTCTGCTATACTTGGCGATGTTGTTATTACCCGTGTAGCTGGTGTGATGGCGATGTTTTTATTACCGGTGTAGCTGGTGTGATGGCGATGGTGTTATTACCTATGTAGCTGGTGTGATGGCGATGGTGTTATTACCTATGTAGCTGTGTGATGGCGATGGTGTTATTACCTCTCTGTGGCTGTGTGAAAGAGCATTATCTGCCTAACAAGTGTGATGGGGTATTACCCTAGTAACTGATGTTGTATTGTGATACGATAATACCCGTGTAAGCTTTTTGATGAAGCAATACTTGTGCAGCTGGTGTGATGGAGATAAAGTATTACCTAAAAAAAAACTGGTCCCGTGGGGATATATGCTACCTGTTTAACAGGTGTGATGGTGATGAATTATTACCTGTGTAGCGATGGGATGGAGCATTACCTTTATAACACGTGTGATGAGGTATCACCTTAGTAAATGATGTAATGTGATACGATATTACCTGTGTAAGCTTTGTGGTGAAGCATTTACCAGGGTAAGCTTTTTGGTGAGGCCTTTACATGTGTAAGATTTGTGGTAAAGCATTTACCTGGGTAAGCTTTGTGGTGAAGCAGTACGTGTGTAAGCTTTGTGGTGTGGCATTTACCTGGGTAAGCTTTGTGGTGTGGCATTTACCTGGGTAAGCTTTGTGGTTAAGCAGAGCGTGTTTAAGCTTTGTGGGGAGGCATTTATCTGTGTAAGCTTTGTGGTGAGGCATTTACCTGTGTAAGCTTTGTGGTGAGGCATTTACCTGTGTAAGCTTTGTGGTGAGGCATTTACCTGTGTAAGCTTTGTGGTGAAGCATTTACCTGTGTAAGCTTTGTGGTGAAGCATTTACCTGTGTAAGCTTTGTGGTGAAGCAGAACGTGTGTAAGCTTTGTGGTGAAGCATTTACCTGTGTAAGCTTTGTGGTGAAGCATTTACCTGTGTAAGCTTTGTGGTGAAGCAGTACGTGTGTAAGCTTTGTGGTGAAGCATTTACCTGTGTAAGCTTTGGGGTGAAGCATTTACCTGTGTAAGCTTTGTAGTGAAGCATTTACATGTGTAAGCTTTGGGGTGAAGCATTTACCTGTGTAAGCTTTGTTATGAAGCATTTACCTGTGTAAGCTTAGGGGTGAAGCATTTACCTGTGTAAGCTTTGTAGTGAAGCATTTACCTGTGTAAGCTTTGGGGTGAAGCATTTACCTGTGTAAGCTTTGGGGTGAAGCATTTACCTGTGTAAGCTTTGTAGTGAAGCATTTACATGTGTAAGCTTTGGGGTGAAGCATTTACCTGTGTAAGCTTTGTAGTGAAGCATTTACATGTGTAAGCTTTGGGGTGAAGCATTTACCTGTGTAAGCTTTGTGGTGAAGCATTTACCTGTGTAAGCTTTGTAGTGAAGCATTTACATGTATAAGCTTTGGGGTGAAGCATTTACCTGTGTAAGCTTTGGGGTGAAGCATTTACCTGGGTAAGCTTTGGGGTGAAGCATTTACCTGGGTAAGCTTTGTGGTGAAGCATTTACATATGTAAGCTTTATGGTGAAGCATTTACATATGTAAGCTTTATGGTGAAGCATTTACATATGTAAGCTTTGTGGTGAAGCATTTACATATGTAAGCTTTATGGTGAAGCATTTACATATGTAAGCTTTATGGTGATGCATTTACATATGTAAGCTTTATGGTGAAGCATTTACATATGTAAGCTTTATGGTGAAGCATTTACATATGTAAGCTTTATGGTGAAGCATTTACATATGTAAGCTTTATGGTGAAGCATTTACATATGTAAGCTTTGTGGTGAAGCATTTACATATGTAAGCTTTATGGTGAAGCATTTACATATGTAAGCTTTATGGTGATGCATTTACATATGTAAGCTTTATGGTAAAGCATTTACATATGTAAGCTTTATGGTGAAGCATTTACATATATAAGCTTTGTGGTGAAGCATTTACATATGTAAGCTTTATGGTGAAGCATTTACATATGTAAGCTTTATGGTGATGCATTTACATATGTAAGCTTTATGGTGATGCATTGACATGTGTAAGCTTTATGGTGATGCATTTACATATGTAAGCTTTATGGTGATGCATTGACATGTGTAAGCTTTATGGTGAAGCATTTACATATGTAAGCTTTATGGTGATGCATTTACATATGTAAGCTTTATGGTGATGCATTTACATATGTAAGCTTTATGGTGATGCATTTACATATGTAAGCTTTATGGTGATGCATTTACATATGTAAGCTTTATGGTGATGCATTTACATATGTAAGCTTTATGGTGATGCATTTACATGTGTAAGCTTTGTGGTGAAGCATTTACATGTCTAAGCTTTGCGGTGAAGCATTACCTGTGTAACTGGTGTGATGGTCGTCTCTACAGCTGTCACAGCAAGTGTGAGCTGACTGCAACAAAATTCCTGAAGTCGAGCTTTTGGTACGACTCTTTCTGCTGACGAAATGTCCCCAAGTCTATTTTACAGAGGGAAAGAGATAACAACAGGCCTGACATATTCACTTAAGTTAGAAATATTCACGAATACAACAGGCCTGACATATTCACTTAAGTTAGAAATATTCACAAATACAACAGGCCTGACATATTCACTTAAGTTAGAAATATTCACAAATACAACAGGCCTGACATATTCACTTAAGTTAGAAATATTCACAAATACAACAGGCCTGACATATTCACTTAAGTTAAAAATATTCACAAATACAACAGGCCTGACATATTCACTTAATTTAGAAATATTCACAAATACCGTCATGTTTTAAGTTTTTGTTTTGGAGGACATTTAAGATAATTATTACCTTTATTCTACATTTTGTTTTCAGATGAAGCTTACGCTCAGGGGCGAAGAAGAAAGAAAACAAGGGGAAAGTAGGAATTTCAAGAAGCCCGTCTATTTTAAATGAGAAATAATAATAAATACTAATAATAATACTATTTATTTATATTATATTATAAATAACGTAGCTTGTGCTGAATGCTGTTTATATATCAAAATTTTCAACTTGTTTTCTTGATATTAAAACAATTATTACTAACTAAAGTTTTGGTTGTTCGCAAATTGTACTTGAGACTCCTCCCCCTAAAACTTGAGTTGTGCGTGCACATCCGTTTTAAATATCTGGCTAATTTGTATGAGTATTGTGTCCTCACCTCTAAACCCCTCCCCGCCCCCCTCCCACCCCACCCCTCCGTGTTTTGACATGCTCGGATTTATTCTTGGTCACCCACCGGAACCTACTCGCTGAACCTGTCCTGTTGTTGTGGCATTGACCCCTGGACTTCTTCTTAGCATTCAGCGGCTGTAAACTCCGGCGACAGATCTGGTAGTTCGTCCACTTCTGAACTTTGATCTGGTTCCTGGAAGTTTTGCGTGCATATTAGTTTTATAGATCTGGCTTTTGTAAATGCAGACTGTCGGTTCCTTGCCTCTCACATAGCTGCATTCCGACTTCGAAGGAAAAACCCCTAATTAGTTGCCTTTTACGACATGCTTATTAAATAGACATTGCGTCTAAAACTGGGAGCTCTTTGAATGTTAACGATGGCAGTGGGAAAAGACGGGGTTGTAGTTTCTGATGCTTACGTTGGACACACACAAAAACGCTGGGGCGGGTCACCCTGTCATAATTTTCTAAAAAAAAGATGGCGGGGTGGGGAAAGTGCCTCTTCAGTGACCTAATTCTCGCTTACACTAATAGTAATTACAATTATTATAATACTTTTGCAATATTATATACCCTGAACGACAAGTATATGTAAAAAATAATTTTGAAATAACTAGAAATGTATTAACAAATAATTAAAAATATAACTTCTATATTGGTTGGTCGAGGGAAGCACTGAGCCCGCTTGCAAAATTTGTAGTGGGAAAACTTGGAAACTTACCCCAAAAAAATGTTTCGGAGCGGAGGGGCTTACGGTGTTACAACTACATCTCAGTACGAGTAGGGCTGCCGAAGTTAGTACTTTCGTCTACATTTGTTACTAACATCCTTGCAGAGCAAAACTGTACTTTTGGTACCACAGCCGAAGCTTTGGTACGTTTTAGAAATTTTGCATACCTCACTCGCTAGCGCTGTTGGTTAAAAACAAAAGCGCGGCGACCGGGTGAGGAACTCCTTGTAGTCCGGGTTCGCGCCCGGGGGTAGGCAGAAAACCCAAATTTCTCCCAGATTTACGGTACCTATCACGAAAAGAAAACAAGGTTTTTGGATGCTTTTAAAAACAGGGAATGTTGCATGAATATTTAAAATTTTGGCATTGTGGTGAACCTTTTAAAAAAAAGTAAATGAGACCACTATGAAATTGTTGATACAGATATCGTTTGAGGTGATTGGTCAAGTGCGGTTTTGTTTCAGTGTCAAAGGCTAGTGTAGGAGTCTCCATGCAGAAAACTGGCAGACTGATCTTGTTCGTATCTGTCGTTGCAGTTTAACATTTCAGTTTACACGCTTTTCTGATTCAGTTTTATTTCCAGTATTTTGTGGATGTTTTGCAAATAAAGCTATTTTAAAAATATTTGTGTGTGCGCGCGCGTACGCCTGTGGATGGGTGTGTTTACACATATTTTACAAATAAAGCAGTATGTAATATATATATGTGTGTGTGGTGGGTGTGTGTGTGTATGTGCCTGTGGGTGGGTGTGTTTAAAGACATAGTAGCAGTTTTTTAGTTTAAAAAAAAAGTTTGGTACTTTTGATATGTTTTTGGTAACTTTTTAACATACATTTGTTACTATTTCAACAACAACAACAAAATCAGCAGCCATAACCACTGGCGTCTGTTCAAGTCTAATGTAAGTAAACCAATATATGAAAAGGAGAAGCAGTGTTCTCTGCTCTGGTGATGAAAAAAGAGACATTTGATAACAACGTGACAATTGGGAGGGGCAGCAGCAACTAGAGCTTACAAAACAAAAATCTGACATGCAAAATGTATACAGAATGGTCTACGACTGTGATTTACAGGGAGGATAAAAGTCAATAAAAGACACTTGATGGCCAGTACCGGCGCCTTTATTGTCTTGTCGGAAGCCCTGACCAAAGAGCACAAGCCTTGAAGTAGTAGTAAATTTTACCCCACATCACACAAGCGATCAACACCCGATGATACAAAGTGCCACCATGTGGAAGAGGATCACCCGTGGAGAGCTCCCAGAAACCGCGTTTAGCCATTAGACCATATTTATGCTCGGGCTATAATGCGTCCCACGGCAAGAGCCAGAGAGCCAGTGTGAGGCTTCCAAATGAAGAAAAATTGCACCCCACAAGGATATGGCTGTCACGACAAGCCTTGAAGTTCCGCCTCCGTTTCTATGAACCACTGCCTTCTCTAATTCTTGCACAAGAACGGGAATCCCCGTTGACCTGTTAAGCCTATAAATAGAGAAGGCAGTGATATGAACCTACCATCAAACTTAATAAAGATCACGAATATAGGTATCAGCTATACAGCTGAAAATACCTGAACGTGGTCAAATTATTCTTTTTCTTTTTCAAGCAAGCAAGCAAGCATATGAACCTACCTGATGACGTAACTGTCCACACATCTTGTTTGTCCTGGGTCTGAAGTAGACACTGGAGTAGACCAAATACCAGCCAGAAAACAGAATTTGCAGACTGTTATTTGTAGCTGTCACGTGTCGGGCATGGTCCCAACTGGCACCATCATTGGCGGCACGTAGCTTCAGATGATAGTGTCTGTCAGGAAACTTGAGCTCTGTGAAAAAGAAAACACGGCAGTTACTTAACTGTTTGTCTTTTAGTAGTACTATAGATAATACTACTCCCACTACCATCACCACAACTTGTTCTTCTTGTTCTTGTTCTTGTTCTTCTTCTTCTTCTTCTTTTTCTTCTTCTTCTTCTTTTTCTTCTTCTTTTTCTTCTTCTTTTTCTTCTTTTTCTTCTTCTTCTTCTTCTTCTTCTTCTTCTTCTTCTTCTTCTTCTTCTTCTTCTTCTTCTTCTTCTTCTTCTTCTTCTTCTTCTTCTTCTTCTTCTTCTTCTGTTTCTTTTTTTTCGTCTTCCTTTTCTTTATTTTTCTCCACCTCCTTCTCCCTCATCATTATCAATATCATCATCTGTCTCATCATCTTTACTTCATCTTTTACCGCTTCGGGTTTCGAAGGAGATATGTTTCTGCTTCTTGCTTCTGTGGCCACCCCGACCGTAGACACATCGTGCTGTTTGTAGAGTTTCTCTGATGTTATCTTTCCAACTTGTTCTTGGTCTGCCTCGTGATCTACGATATTTCTCTCTGTTAGTGTATGAGTTGTATGGTATAGCGTCACAAGGCATTCTCCCTTAGTGAGCCAACCATTTTATTCGTTGTCTTTGTACCTAAATATAGAATTAGTACTGTGTCTCTTATGACCTTATTTCGGATTTATCGCTTCTGGTCCCTTCTGCAACCCTTCTCGGAATCCCATCGTTTCATGTCACTGTGTATAACAACAGGAGATAAATTGTTTAAAAAATCAATCTGTTCAGTTTTTCGAAACAAACAAAAATACATCTATTCAGTTTATCAAAACAAAAATTCTGTTTCTTTCGTTTATCAAAACAAACAGTTCATCTTTTCACTTTGTCACTAAATCATCCATACCTTCTGTGTCATAAGAAATCCACGGCTGGAGGTGTTTGTGAGCACTGACCGGTGTAAACTTGAGTCCACTTTGTGCAGGCGATGTGACCACTTAGGCAGAAGGACAATAAAAAACCAGTAAAGAGACATATATGGCATATAGGGCTACACATATATGTTGTGGAACAATCGGAACTCGGTGAGTAATGTAGTCAACATCACGCCGGCCGCCTTTACTTTTCCGAACATTACCTGTACCCATCTTAGGCTGTGTCAACCTGGGATCTGAAGCTCCTCTTTTTCTTCTTCTTCTTCTTTTTCTTGTGATCGCTTTCTGATTTACACTGGCAGACAATTTCTTGTGATAAACTTTTTTAAGACTTCCTTTTTACTTCTATACAGCTTTGAGTACAGTGTTGACTCACTGGGCCAGTATTCCCTTCTTAATGGGCTGTAAAATGGACGACATTCTTGTAGGACATGTTCTGTAGTCTGCACACACAGCCCATACGGGCACAAAGGTGAACTACCAAGATGAAGCCCGTTCATATCCTTGATAAGTTAAGTCCTGTCCTGAGGAATAATGACCTACCCATGCCAGTCAAGTAAGTGGTAGTCATCTCTGGCCAGACTCTGTTCACTTCTGATAGACTGGGTGTCCCTTTTCTTCACAAAGTATGTTACTGCATTCTCCTCCTTTCCCCAATTCGACCCTGAAATCATTTTTTTTAATAGAGGGGGGGGAGTTGAGGGGGGGGGGGGTGTCCGACTCAGTGGGAATTTGAGCCCACGACTTTAAGACCCGCGGGTCACTTTCACTTTTCTGGACATATCCTGGTGTTCATTGTATGCTGGGTCAGTAGAGTCAAGGTTTAAAGTAAAGATCCTCTCCCATGGGGGATTCGAACTTAATACTTTCGGGCCTTCAGACTAACGTCTTGCCCTGTCTAACGTTGCTCTCCGTATTTAATATCAAATATGAAGAGATAATCAAGAGGGTCGAGTTCATTGAACTGGGTTCATCTCATATGGCTCGGTCTCTCCCCGCTGAACGGCTAGCCGTCTGCCGAGAGTGTCGCACAAGGCACGAACTCCATAGCTGTTCCAGAAATCCAGTAGATCGATGACAGAAATTCCCCCCCCCCCCCCCCCCCCCCAATAAAAAAAAATTAAACAAAGATAGTTGCATATTCCTGTGCAGACATTGCAATCCCACCATGACATTTATTGGCTGATATTGTCAGACTCCATTTTTCATAAGTAATATTACATCTAGTTGTTTGCCATAGCTTTCCGAGAGGTTTGCAGCTGCTGCCCGAGGTATCAGAATTGAGAATCGTCCACATCTTAATCCAGTGTTTTCTAACCTGTTTTGTGCCATATGTAAGTGTGGGGTTAATTTTTGTTTTCCGCCACAATAGGACACTGGAACCGACAACAAGGAATTTACTATGTAAAGCTGAAAATAGAACAGTATCACTCACCATTGACAGTTTTCTGCTTCATTATCTGTGAATTATTGCAAAGATGGATTATTGGTGAGTTCACTGGTTTTAGATAAGTTAATTCGTTGCTTTGTGCTGTCTGTCCGTCTGTCCGTCCATCCATCCATCCATCCATCATCCATCCATCCATCCATCCATCCATCCATCCGTCCATGCGTCCATCCGTCCATCCGTCCGTCCGTCCGTCCGTCCGTCTGTCCGTCTGTCTGTCTGTCTGCCTGTCTGTCTGACTGCCTGCCTGCCTGCCTGCCTTCCTGCCTGTCTGTCTGTCTGTCTGTCTGTGGTCGGCCTATTTATATTTCAATTCGTCTACATGTCTGTCTCTATAAAAATATCAGCCATATACCTGCTTCGAAGCTTCGGTCTGACTGTCAGTATGCAATCTGTCTGCCTGTTCATGTCTGTCCGTATGTATGCCAATATGCATGTCGTGTCTGTCTGTCTATCCCAGCCACACACTAAATTTTGGCGAGGGCTGAGGGTACCAGGAGTCCCAGGTGCAGACGCCTCTGGAGCAGTATGCACAACAGTTTGACAGATCTGGCTTATTTGTATGCAGACTGTTGATTCCTTGTCTTTCAGACAGATATATTCCGACTTTGAAAAACAAAACGATAATTGGTCATCTTTTACTATATGCTGGTTTAGGGGGCTGTGGGTCTATCCTGTTCCTCTCAAAATCAATGTGACCCCGTAATCCACCCAATAAATACACTTGAAGCAGACACACACAAAATGATAAAGGTCCTACCAGCTGTACGAGTGCCGACATCTGACCACCAGTGTTGGCACAGCAGATAAGTTTCCCGTCCCTCATCTTCTTGGTCAACTGATTCTGCAAGCCAGCACTTAACACATCATTGTCCAAGAGCTGGACACACGGGACGCAGGTCTCATAAACACCTTCCTTGATCGTCATCGTTTCCCATGAGGGTGTTTTCTTGAAAACAAAGCCATGAATGGCGATACTGCACGAAACAACACTGAAGAGAAGAGAAACTGCAGCAATGCAAGTTAGATAGTGCCTTTTATTGAAGTGTTTTTCTTCCCTTACAGAATGTCCGGAGCAGCCACAGGACGCGCAGCTTGAGGACTTTGACAGTGAACATCGCAAGTCATCTAGCGACACCCCTTGTGGTGGTGTTGGAGGAAGTTCTCTTGTCTGTATATTATTGTAAAATAGCTGAGCTGCAGGAAGAACGTTCCTCGTTGGAAAATTATCGCATTCTACAATATCATCGCTTGTGATGGAGACCAGTTGTGTGCGTGGCAGAAGGGGTATATTTGTTCCTGATTGGTAGCTGCCTCGAGAATCACTTAAATGGGCGTGATTTAGTTTCTGTTTCTTTTTTCGTGATGATTGACATACATTGTCGTTCACATTCACGTGTTTTAAGTTTGTACAATCTGGATCGTGTTTATGAAGTCTGGCCATTGCCATATTTGTATTTCGAAAGTAAGACTCATATATCAATAATAAGTGGCCAGAAGTTCTGTCAATGATAACATCAAACACGAATGGTCCGTTGTTCTATCAATGTTGACACATGCAGTGCCTGTTATTTCAAATATAAAAAAAAAAAAAAGCAATGCTGAGTACAGTCAATACAGTAGTACGTCGACGAACAAACTCAATTCTGTCTTCACTGTTGTTCGTATCTTGAAGAATATCTCGAAACATAGTTTCAAATCATGCGTTCTCACATTTAAAAAGTTTTTAAAAAATTTAAAATATAAAAAATAAAATAATACAAAAACAAAAACTGCTCTGACCTAAATTAGGAAAATGCAGAGAAATAGTTAAAAGTGTGAGCGAAAAAATTTGTAGCTATAAATATGCATTTTTTTATAGCATCAAAAATTTTTATTGATCAAAGCTTTGTTTTGGTTCTACATGATATTTATGTATGCATTAGTTTAAATCCCTACCCGTCCTTTCCAGGATGAAATTTTTCGTTACTTGAAGCCCCACCCTGGCTCTTGCAAGGGGCCGCAATATAGCCCGACCATAAATATGGCCTAATGGCTGAATGCGGTTTCTGGGACTTCTCCACGATGATCCTCATCCACATGGTGGCACTTTGTGTCATCGGGTGTTTATCGCTTGTGTGATGTCCTAGTGGGGTAAAAGTCAGTCAGTCAGTATTTATGTAAGCAGCATAAAAATTCCCTTCTCTTAAACTGTAACAACAACAACAAAGCACGCACAAATGCCTGTCATCAGTTGTCATCAGTGGCTTCCTTCTACCTCTTTGGCGAGAAAGATTGTAAAAACCTATCTAACATTGTGTGCGTCTGTCGTTTCCTCAAGACCCTTCTTAAATAACTAATGACATAGTCATTGAAGACACTCTTGGTTCTGGAAACAACAGCTTGATCTGGCTGACATGTGTTCACTAACGCTTCTAATGATGTCACGTGTTAGTGAAACAACAGCTTGATCTGGCTGACATGTGTTCACTAACGCTTCTAATGATGTCACGTGTTAGTGAAACAACAGCTTGATCTGGCTGACATGTGTTCACTAACGCTTCTAATGATGTCACGTGTTAGTGAAACAACAGCTTGATCTGGCTGACATGTGTTCACTAATGCTTCTAATGATGTCACGTGTTAGTGAAACAACAGCTTGATCTGGCTGACATGTGTTCACTAATGCTTCTAATGATGTCACGTGTTAGTGAAACAAAAGGAATAATTCATTCGAGGAGAGAAGATGTATCAGAAGTAGTTAAGAGGATAAGAGAAGATGTATCAGAAGTAGTTAGAGGATAAGAGAAGATGTATCAAAAGTAGTTAGAGGATAAGAGAAGATGTATCAAAAGTAGTTAGAGGATAAGAAAAGATGTATCAGAAGTAGTTAGAGGATAAGAGGAGATGTATCAGAAGTAGTTAGAGGATAAGAGAAGATGTATCAAAAGTAGTTAGAGGATAAGAGAAGATGTATCAAAAGTAGTTAGAGGATAAGAAAAGATGTATCAGAAGTAGTTAGAGGATAAGAGGAGATGTATCAGAAGTAGTTAGAGGATAAGAGAAGATGTATCAGAAGTAGTTAGAGGATAAGAGAAGATGTATCAGAAGTAGTTAGAGGATAAGAGGAGAGGAACAGGATAAAATGATGACCTTCTGACTTCAAGACAGGGCAGGAATGAAGGAAAAGGCGAGGTTCTTGCTAGGGCAGAGGCAACAGCAGGAATCTGAAACCCATGCAGTGGTAGGCAGAATGTTCTACAAGGGCAACAGCAGGAATCTGAAACCCATGCAGTGGTAAGCAGAATGTTCTACAGGGGCAACAGCAGGAATCTGAAACCCATGCAGTGGCTGTCAGAATGTCCTTCACAATTACGAGCTCGGAATGAAACAAATGATATCCTATAGAAATCAGATTTCCTGTTTCCGTGATTACTGTTTTCTGCTGTGGTGAATTAGCAATAACGTCTACCCATTGCCTTTTGTCGCCTGTATTGTCAATCATTTGTGTACAGATACTCGCCAGTGTCATGATACCAAACTGATCAATACTTTCTCTCTTCTCTGTGTGTAATCTATTTCTTATCTTTAACTCTCTGTAAGTCGTTGATTTTCCTCTATAGCATAAGATAATCTCTAACGTTTGACATTTCTTCTTCTGCTTTTCTAGCCGCCAATGGAGCATAGGCCCTCAACAAACTCATGCTAAGTCTTATACATTTAAAATTTAGTGAGAATGAAATAAAGAAAAATCAGATTTCTTTAATGTAATTACCACTGTTTGTATTGCCATCTGTGAAGTAATGCATTTATGACTTTTCCTTGTGGTTATTTTTTTACTTCGCCATATCCTGTGAAACCTGCTGGTACTGAAAGAAAACCAAAAAATCTCGTCTGACTGGGGATTTAAAATTACTACTACCGGCCCAGTAGACAACACTGCAATATAGTCAGTTCCAGAAGTTGTTCCAAATTTCAAAAATCTTGAACTTATTAACTGTTCGGTATAAATTGTTCTGATTTGGAATGTAGCGTGTTAATAATCATGTACTTCTAAGAATTATTTTTTAAATGCGCTCAGACATCTAGTTTTTCTTTATTTGCGGTATAGGAAACAAGAAACAGACACTGATTCAAAACAAACAGTCAGCATAAAAGTAGAGTAAAGGACCCTTTTCCACGCCTTTCGGCGTGTAGGGCATATAGGGCTAGACCTATATTTTTATAGACCAAATGCACAAGATGGGTGATGTAACAGTCAGCATGCTTACAGTTAATTGAGTAACGGGAACGGTAGACGTTTCACTTTCACTGGGTCACTACCGGCATTTGACTCCCGTGAGTTAGACGAACATAATTGTTCATTCTAGGCGGGATAGACTATCAAAATTATTTCTACGCATTGTTGCACATTTGAACTGATTTAAGACAATCACCACGCTTGTGTCAAATATCTTTTTTTTTTTAAAGTACACACATTATAAGTCAAACAATAATCAAAGACAATATCCTCTGTAATAAAAGGTGCAACTCATGTGCAATTGCAAGTTATATAATCAGAAAAACACAAAACATCTAAGACCACTTGAAAAACAAATGCATTGATCAGTACAGGTGGTTTTAAGATATTTGTTAAAGTGTGAAGGGTACGACATTTGGAACGTACTATAGTCACTGCAACACCGAGGCTAATAAGAAAGCATGTAGAACCAACCCCAACATTGTACGACTGTTCTCGTCTTACTAGACAATTCTACGTTTAGCTCAGTGCCATTGCTTACCGAACGCGTCTGTTCTTGATACCCCTGTCGAAATCAAAGCAAAGCAGTCTGCTGCCAAACCGCCCGTAGCTGGAATCGAACCGAATGCCTTGGAATTAAGAAGTTCGTACGCAACGCCTAAGCCACAGATGCCAACCAAGAGAGCAAACACACTCGAAATAAATTGGGATTATTTAAAATACGACTTGCTAGATTCGTATGTGATAAACAGTTAGATATGTTTTGAGTGACACTTATAGAAAGAAGCAGAAAAATTGCATACTAGAGCACCAAACTTAAGGACTCTTTCATACCTTCAGGCGTTTTGGGCATTTAGTGCTACATTTACATTTTACAGAAAAATGTTTTTCATCTCCTTTCTGATTTGAACCCACCACCTTCGGACCTTAGGCGAGCGATTTGTCGCTACACCACGGCGGCTCTCGCCGGCATAAAACTCAAAAGCCTAAGATGATAGTGCACTCAAAAAGTTGTACCCTCAAACTGTAACAAATATCTCGAAAACTCCTATGAGGATGAAAGTGAATTTTTGCATGCGACTTTAGATTTGCCATGTCCTTACGTGTTAAATTTTTTTTTATTGTTTTATAATTTACAATTGCACAGTGCTGTTGTTTTATTAAAGCGGCGAATTTCTTTGATCTTTGAATAATACTGTGTTTACCCATAAAAACTTGAATAAACAGTACTAGACACACACCTGACGATTGTTTGGAAATCAGTTCAAGTGTGCAGCGATGCTTGGTGATTATTTTTATAGCCTATCCTGCATACAATGAAAAATCCGCAAGTCACGGGAGGCTAATGCTGGAGACGACCACATAAGAGGCAAACGCCTAGAAAGCGTTTGTAATATGATGTTTCGATAAGTTCGCACTACTCAATTAACAGTAGCCCAGCTTAAAATGGGTACCAGGATGGCTGTCCTGTGGAAGTAAAGACGGCCGGCACAATGCTGACCACATTACCCAGCTAGTGTCGATGGTCTGTAAAAAAATATGGGCGCTCTTCCCATTTGCCCGATGCGCCTAAGGTGTGAAAAGGGATCTTTACTTTTTACTTTGCTGGCTGCTTACTTTGAATCGGGTGTCTGTACCGGAAATTAGGCCAAATGAAAATTAGCTGTTTGTTTACCATTAAAATTACAAGAAAATAAATATTAACAAGTTGCATGGCAAAATTCAACAACTTACACATAACGGTTACTGAATCTGTTATAGCTAGGAACGTCTTTTGGTGACATCACCCAGAGAGTGCCGAGAGGTTTTTAAAAATATATGTCTGGCCCTATGTTCACAATTCGCCTAAAAGGCGTTGAAAAATGGCTTTTACTTTACCTCTTTTTGTGCGGACTAAAAACCTCATTGACAAGATGAAACGTGTGTCTTATGCACATCTGACGGTTAAGAGATAAACTTACTATCACAGGTGTTCGAAGTGTTCACAGATTACATCAAAACTGAGACCAAATATAAAGGCCAGGCATTCCCGATAGTTCTGAACACAATAATTATATCAACACAAATTCTTACAACTTCCTGGCTAACTGTACAGAACATGTAGCGCTGCGTTATTATTGGCCGAGACGTTGGCGGGGAGTCGCGGTTTCTACAGCTCGCTTGTCGACCATTGAATTAACTACCGAGAGCCGATCGGTCTCTAAAATATAGTTCTAGCCGTCTGTGCCCAA